CATTTTGATGCTGGTTTCTTTGGCTGTGCAGAAGCTTTTATTTTGACGTAGTCCCATTTGTTTATTGGTGAGTTCTTTTTTTTTTAAATGTATCTTTATTGATTTCAGAGAGATGAAGGGAGAGGGAGAAGAGAGAGAGAGAAACATCAATGATGAGAGAGTCGTCATTAATCAACTGCCTCCTGCACGCCCCCGACTGGGGATCAAGCCTGCAACCCTGGCGTGTGCCCTGACTGGGAATCAAACCGAGATCTCCTGGATCCTAGGTCGATGCTCAACCGCTGAGCCATACCCAGTGGGGCAGTATTGGAGAGTTCTTATTGTGGTAAGAAAGGATGGTGTCTTAGTCCATTTGGCCTGCTATATAACAAAATACCATATACTAAGTGGCTTATAAACAACAAACTTTTATTTCTGCCTTCTTTTTTCAGTTCTCACACTATAAACAAAATGTCCTTTTTGCAGTAAACTTCCCGTCACATTTTTCATATTTTGTGTGTCTTCAATTGGTGATTTTGCTGTTTCAAAAGGCCTCCAAGCGTAGGGCTGAAGTGCTGACCAGTGTTCCCAAGTGCAAAGTCTGTGATGTGCCTTACAGGGAGAATGTTTGTTAGATTTGCTTCATTCAGGCATAAGTTCTTAGACTTGACACCAAAATGTGATCCATAAAAGAAAAAAATTGATATATTTTCCTTCATCGCAATTTAAAACTTCTGCTGTGCAAAAGATCCTGGTAAGAGGATGAAGAGCTATGCTATACACTGGGAGAAGGTATTTTGCAAATCGTGTATCTAACAAAGAACTAATATCTAGAATGTATTAACAACTCTAAAATAACAATCCAATTAGAAAAGGGCAAAAGACATTAAAAAGCATTTCACCAAAGAATACCTAGAGATGAATGCACCTTTTGGTATATTCATAAGATGCTATATGGGTTTGGGATCATGATATACTATTTTAGTCTACAGCCATACCACCCCAAACACATTTCATCTGAGCTTGGAGCCTAGGCAGGGTCGGGCCTGGTTAGTACTTGGATAGGTAAATATATTATTTTAAATTTAATAAAGTAGTGATGCTAATTGAAACAGCTATTCCATATGTAGTAAGAGTATATACTCTTTTCCTGTCCTCTGGAAGAATTTATTGAAGTTACTGGAATTATTCCTTCCTTAAATACTTGGTATGATTTACCATTGGAGCCATCTGAGCCTACAGTTTTCTTTGTGGGAAGACTTTAAATTATGGCTTAATTTACCCTGGCCAGTGTGCACAGTGGTTAGACGCCAGCCCATGCACCAAAGGGTCTGGGGTTTGATTCCGGCCAAGGGCAAGTTCCTCGGTTGGAGGCTCAGTCCCCAGCCCTGACACTGGGTGGGGGCGGGGGACCAACCAATCAATCAATGTGTCTCACATCAATTTTTTTTTGTTTTCTCTCTTTATCTCTCTCCCCACCTCTTCCACTCTCTCTGAAAAGTAATAGAAAAAATATCCTCAGGTGAGGATTAACAAAAAAAGAAAATTATGGATTATTTTTTTTAACAGTTATAGTATTACTCAAGCTTTACTATATATATATATGTATGCTTTATGCCTATATTTTGTTAAACTGTATTTTTCAAGGAATTTTTTCATTTGATCTTAATTTTCAATAAAAGAATGCTATCTTTTCAATGTCTATAAGATTTGTCTTTTTTCATATGGGTTTTTAGTGCCTTTTTTCATGATCTTTCTTACCAAGTGTTTATCAGTTGTATTAGTCTATTCTTTTACTTTCAAACTTTTTGTAGTGTTTTAGATGTATTTTTTTAAAGAACAAATATTTAAGTTTTTGAAATATCCAAATTTAAAAATATTTGTCTGATAACTACAGAATTTAGTTCATTTACCCTAACAACTGATCTGTTTGGGTTTTAATCTACCATCTTACAATGTGTTTTTTATTTTTCCTGCCTGTTTATTTTTCCCTCTTTTTTCTTACCTTTTAAAAAATATCAGTTTTCCATCTTTTTCCCATTACTTGGGAAAATATACACAACTCTTCTGTTATTTTATTAGTTTCCCTAAAATCTAAAATATACCCTCTTCCTGGATAATGCAAGGACTATAAAATATTTTAATGCTACTTTTCTACTGGCTTATATGCTATTGTCATGTATATATTTCCTTTATATGTAGCAATGGCATACACCATATATATGTGTGTGTGTGTGTATTTATATGCATATACACATTTATATGGCTTAGTTTTGCTTGTTCTTGAGCTTTGTAAAAAGCTTATACTAAATGTAGTTTATTTTAATGATTATAATTTTCATTTCTAGACGTTTTCTTTAGCTCTTTTTAAAATCTGCCTGGCAGACAATATCAGGGATTCTAAAGGCTGAATTTGCAAGGTGTTGCTAAGCTTGCTCTTTTACTAACTTGTATAGTTAGCCAAATGAGCGTACTTCAGGAGTACACCTAAACGCTCACTATCTTGGTCCTTTCCAAAAGCCACAAAGGTCTTGAACAAGTGTGATTTCTGCTGTTTCACAGAGCGCTTCTGTGGCAATAGCGTGTGAGATTACAGAGAGCTGGAAGTTAGGGCACACCAAAAAAATAACTCATATAAGAAACAGGGCCCAGCTGGTGTGGCTCAGTTGGCTGGGCGTCGTCCCACGAACCAGGACGTGACCGGTTCCGTTCCTGGTCCCGCATAAGCCCTTCCCTGACCCCCGTGGGGAGCCTGCAGGAGGCGGCCATTGAGGTTCTGCTTTACATCACGTTTCTCTTCTCCCTCTCCCTTCCTCTCGCTCAAAATCAATAAAAATGTTTAAAAAGGAATAAAGAGAAAGAAGGAAGGAAGGGGAGGGAGGGAGAGAGGGGGGGAAGGAGAAGGGAGGAAGGGAAAAAAGGGAGGAGGGGATAAAAAAGGGAGGGAGGGAGGAAGGAAGTTAGGAAGGAAGGAAAAAGGAAAAGAAAAGAGAAAAGAAACTTAAGAAATTGAGTGGTCTGAGCAGAAATCATAGGCCCAGTGGTTTGGAAGGGATCCAAGGCCACATTAGCTAACTTGAACATGACCTTCACCTGGGTGCGATGTGATGCAAATCCTGTCTAGATTTCCAAGAATTTCCTAACCACGTGACAGCGTTGTTTCTTAGATGCTGGCTACACACCCTCCTCACTCTTTCTGCACACGAACGCGATGGAGAGACCGGTGTTGGCCGAAAAGAAGCCTGCAGGTGAGGGCCAGAGCGATAACCCAGCCTCCGCCGCACCTGCAGTACCTCCCCCAGACCCGGCGGCCAGCAAGGGGAGATCAGGAGGAAGACTTAAAGTAACAGGGTGGGGGCAGAACAAGGTCAGGTGACCTGTCCAACTCTGATTTCAGGCTATCTCTGTGGGCGCAGCTGGCACCAGGAGTGACAATATGACCAAGTGTGTGTAAAGGTCGGCAGCTGAAGGGAAGGCAGCCGGGAGACGTCGGCCTCCCAGAAGACAAAACGCCGTCCTCCCAGGAAATACGTCAGCGAGCAAGAGAGCGGTTACCTTCGCAGGATAACTCCGCTCCGCCCTCCCCGTCGGCGCCCGCCCGCACACAGAGGC